TGTGGGCTGTGTTTGGTCTTTAAAAGAAGGATAGATGAGGTGCTTAGGGACATGGTTTAGTGGTGGGATGGCAGGGTTAGGTTAAAGGTTGGACTTGATGATCTCAAAGGTCTTTTCCAACCAAAGTGATTCTATGATTATCCCCCATGGCAATTGCAGGTGGGCTCCCTTTGGCTAACACTGTGCTGTCCCCAGGGGAATGCATGACTGCTTTTCCTGCTCTCTGTTGCTGACTCACCACCATCTCCTCTCCCTTCTGGTGAGCACCAGTCAGATTTCCTGCAGTCGAGCTAAGGGTCTGTGTTGGAGACGGATTAAAACTAGTCTCAGTTCTCCTCTTTCTCTTCCTGAGCAAGGCTGAGGAACACCAAGCACCCAGCCTCTGACCTGCTATGACTCTTTGGCAGCCCCCAAAAAGAAATCTGACTCTGCCCTGGCTCTCATTCAGCACAGAGTTGCTGAGTTTTGCTATGAAATGAGGCATAAATCACTGAGCCCCTTAATCCCTGGTGCCGGACGTAACTGAGCATCCTGAAATGAGGAAGAGGAAGTGGGCTGGTGTCAGTGTTGCCCAGAGGGGCTATTGCATGTGCTCCGCTCAGTTGCTGGTGGCTCCCAACCCGCTCTGGCTAGTGTGGGTGTGTAGTGTGATACCTATTGTGTAAGAAAATTATCCTGAATAAAACCCTCAAAAGTGCATAACAGCTATTGGTGCTTGAGTGCCCGGTGTTGTCTTTGGGCTTGCAGTGTTGCTGTCAGCACCGGGCTGGGAAGCTGATCTGTACCAAGCAAGCAGGTGGTGTATCTTACAAAACTGGTTGTGGATGGCGGAAAGGAGGATGACTCTTCAAAATAAATAAATAATTAAAAAAAAAAAAGCAGCAGCAAATGAAAGCACTGAGAAGGTGGCACAAAGCCTCCAAGGTCCAGCCCTCGCCAGAGTGGGCGAGCTGTCCTCCAGAGCAGAGGCTGTGGTGGGCAGGGTCCAGGCAGGGTCTAGCAAGTGGTAGGCTGCTACCAACTGATGCATTTATTTCAGCTGCAGGCATGAGAAACCTCCCACTGTTTCGGCGAGGGGCTCGGAGGGGATTTGTGCCAGTTGAGGGTGACAACTGTTGGGCATTCCCAGTGGCTTATCGGCTTCATGCCCTAGGCGCGAGGCCGGGATTAGGGCTTGCTCTTTTCCGAGAGCTACTCTTAGAAACAAGTCTTCAAAAAAAAGGCTGAAAGCACATTCCTTCATCATATACCTGCTCTCTTCCCCAGCCCTGTGGATAGTCTAGATTCTTCTGGGTCAGAAAGCCAAAATGCCTCCATTGGAGAGGTGCATACTTGCTTTCGTGCAACACTACTATGGTTCTGTTTGTGTAGGGATTGGTGGTTGCTTGGGTGATTTTTATCTGCTGCAAGGTGAGCTAGTACGTGCATCTAATGCTAGGATTGATTGTGGAATGATTTCATCTGCTCCTGTTTAATGTGGTCCCATGGACAGCCTGTACTACAAGATAAGCTGTGGTCTAGCAGCATGGGTAAGCCAGAATTACAAGGCTGACCAGGTTTGTTGTGTTGGGAATATTAAAGAGTCAGGGCCCAACCACTGATCAGCTCTTTAAGTGTTTTCCTTCTCCTACAGGCTGTGGTACCCCAGAAAAATGCAGCTTCCCACAGGTGTCAGGATCTTGCTTGGGATTTGCTGCAAACTTCCAGATGCTACCAAGGAGGGTGTGGGGGATCTTGGAGTGGGAAGTTTAGATATAGTCTGCGTGCACCAGGAAAACCTTCCCTCTGTTCCCAAACAGAGAGGCTGCTTTGTGCCCTATAACCTCAAGATTTGTTGGCTCTTACAACAGTCTGTGCTCTTAAAATCATTCTTGCTACTATCCCAGCTTCCCATCTGACTTGAATCCTGCTGCGCTGTGGGTCTTGGAGACCTTGTGGGTGGTAACTTCCACGGCATGTGACTTTGCCAGAGTCTGTGTGTTTGACTAGTGAGGCAGAGAGATGCTAAGAGACAGCAAAAGGAAATCAGCTCTTCATTTATTTGCCTTCCCTGTCATGCTTGGCTTTGCTTGATGAGTCTCCTTCAGAGCTTTGTGTGCTCAGGAGAAATTCTGCAACAAGCAAGATTTCTGAGCATCTTTCCCCCCTGCTGCGCAGTGAAGCAAAAGCAAAAGGACAGACAGACTTGCTTTATTGCCAGTGGAAAGGCCAGAGCTGAAAACCCAGGGACAACAGAGAAAATACTGCCTGAGAAACTTGGGTGGGTTTGTGATAAGCTGGAAGGAAATGGAGCTAGAAGCTGAGCCAAGAGGCTTTCAAAGGGTTAAGTTTCCCTGCTGCTGCTTGAGTGCTTGTGGGTGGAGGGGAGGTCACCCACTCTTGGACCCCAACTGTTCTCCTGGAGTCTGCTCCATCTGCAGTCAGTCCCAAACTGGGAACGGTGGGGAGAGTGTTGGTGTGGAGGAGTCATTTATCACACGATGGAAAAGTCATTTGTGAGCTGGAGTCCCTTGGCTGCACCAGCTGTCACGCGCAGAGCAGATCGAGAGCTGCAGGAACCTGATACCGCTGCAGATGGTCCCAAGCAGAGAGCTGTGGATGCCGGCGGCTGTAGGAACACGCTCTCTGCTTTAGTGGCTTTCTTAGACTTGAAGGAAACCCGCTGATCGCGGCTGGGCAGGAGCACGTCCTTCCCTCAGACTGGGCAGTCGTGACCTCTGCTGGGTGCGCAGCTCTCAGCATCATGCTCTGCCTGGCATGGCTGGCTGTCCTGTGGTGCTGAAGCTTTATGGCCTGATTCACAGGGCTTTCTGGAATTGGGTAGGAGAAAACCACCTGTAACTGCTAAACTAGATGCTGCCCCTGTATAGCCAAGGGTATTGCTCGTGGCAGGCCAGATGGTATGCATAAACTTCTTGTTTTCTTGTCTTGCAGCTGAGCTTGGTCCTGGTTCAACGCAACCCTCAATGCCACTATTTTTTTCTCTGCTCCACGGAAGATAACTGAAGGATATTTCTCTTCTCCTGCCTGATACGAGTCTGCTTCGGTACAGCCTGACTCCTCTCGGGGTGTGAGCGATACCCCATGCTGCCTCCAGTTGGATGAAAGGAACTAGATCAGCTGGCAAAACCCATCCCTGTTTTAACCTTCTATGTGCCTCTTTGGCTTTTTTTTTTTTAATTTTTTTTTACCTGGCTCTGCTATGGAGATGGGAGACTGTGGCTCTGCTCCCTCTCTTCTTTCTCAAGCATTGGAAGAGAGGGATCTGCTGCCCTGCCGAGCTGGCAGGGCTTTTGCTACATGATGAAGAATTTCTACTTTTGTGGCTCTTGGTGGCTGGGTGGTGGGGGAGAGGGAGCTCAACAGAAACCTGGGAAAATAATCAGTGTTTGAAAGGAGGGCAGCAGGCAGATCTTGTGTGTGAGGAGACTGCCAGGACCACTTGTCACCCTGCTGGTGCCAGCTGTGGGTAAAGTCTTCCCCTGTTTACAACGCAGCCTCTGTCCCTCTACAGCATCTGCTTTGAGGGACTTCCACCTACTCTATGTACATCAAATCACGTTCGGCTTTGTCCTGCATTGTTTTTGTTTCTGTTTTTTAGTTCCCAGATCACCCTTTAATCACAGTTATGTACCCATGCCAAAATGTTCCTGCAACTTTTCCATCTTGACAGCGGCAATAGCAGCTTTGTTTCAAATAGCTGCTGCCTTCCTCTCCCTGTCTACCATGGTTGGAGGTCTCCTTCCCCAGGTGAGGAGTGCTGATCACTGGCATTATCTCCCTTCTTGTGGAAAGGGATTTGCTTGTTCTCTAACCTGAGGGCTCTAGTGCCAGTGATTGAAACATGTCAGAGGTGGTGGGCATGTTGATAACCTGCCTGCTCTGCTCCTGGAGGGGGACAGGATATCTGGGAAATGGCTGCTTCTCTTATGCTGGAAGCTGCCTCAGTGAAAAGGCATCCCAATGAGTTGTTTGGGGAGATCAGGGCTTGCTGTGAACATGGGGAAACCGAGCCCCGAGAGAGTGGCACTCCGGCCTTGGACCTGAGATCTGTAAATCGGCTCCCAGGGCTGTTTCTGAGCTCTCAAGTCTTCATACTTCATGGTGTTAGCATGTCCCCATCCCTTCTTTAAAGTCATTCCTGCCCTCTTCCCATGGCAACATAATTTTGCAACTTGTTTCTGCTCTCCTGGAGGGAGGGCAGCTTCTCTCTTCTGCATCAATTTGCTTTCTGCTTAAATTTACTGTGCGTCCTGGGTATTCTTTTTTTTTGTAAGCATTTAATAAAATTTGAGGAAGATGTTGTAACAATGGCAACTCTGAGGATTTTGTTGATGTAGGAGTTCCTGCGGCAAAGCCCTTCTCCAAGACCTTGCAGGCCTCCGTGTGAGTGGAAAGTGGAGGAGAAGAAACATCAGGATGAGTGACAAGAAAAAAAGGAGCTTGATATATGCAGGAAAGGAGCTTTCCGTGTGCCTGCCCCACTTAGGAGATCCTTGTCACCTTGCTGCAGTCTTCATTGTATTGGGGGTAGTTGACTGAGAAATGGGGATGAGCTGTGTTTGGGTGAGAGGCGGAAAACCGCGCAGAAAACTTTTTTTTTGCTAGGAGAAGCAGAGAGCTTAGCTCCTCAACTAACAGACCTGAGCAGCGTCACAGGCTTCAACTGAAATCACTGGCGATGTCAGCTATAAAAAATAATCTTCTATAGCCTGCTTATACAGTTGGGATGAGCTCAATGTAGCTGTCTGTACAGGCACCCAGCATTCTAATGAGCTGACTACCCTATCTGGAACCATCTAATAAAAAACCTTTTTATGGAGGTGATCTTCCAAGTAATAATATTTCTATGGTGTAGAGACAGCAAATAGTTTGTGCTGTCCTTACCTATGCTTTCCTGAAATATTAGGAGCAGGAAAGTTTCCAGACCTTGCTTCTTGCTGCCATCTTTTTGCTCACTGGTACCTTCATTCTCTCCATCCTCTGCTCCAGCTCCTCCTGGAGGTAAGAATTCAGGGAGTCTGTGTTTCTTAGAGAGCCCTATGGAGCATGGACACCATCTGGCCTCATCTACCTCCCTTCCACTGCCATGTTGGGATTTTCAAGTGAGGCCAGAGCAGTAGCAATGGGGTGTATAGAGATGTCCTGGCGTGAGGTGAGAGCAGTGCTACTGTGCCCTTGCCTGCATGCAGATTGGCCCCACCAATTTGTTTCAACTCCATTCTGCAGTCGGCTGGTGGAAAGGTTGGCCAGAAACTTCTGTTGCTATTCCTGTGCCCCGCCAACTTGGAACGAGCAGAAAGGGCCCCAAAGGCTTCTTGTATGAGATTCCTTCTCTAAGGAGGGTTAATTTGCAGGGCATATTTTCCCCACTTAAAGTCCCTGTGGACCTAAATGTGGTTTCAACAGAAACAACCGCTGTAATTCAGGTTCTGGCTGCAGCACAGAAGTGAGCAGGTTACATGGGAACTCTCTAGGGAGACCCAAGTGCTCTTAGTGATGGCGAGGGACCAGGGAAAGACCTGGCTTGGAGCAGATGTGTGCAGCTCTTTATGAAGTACCTAAATTTCCCCTGGCAGATATTTCCACAATTAAATTAACTTTATGATGTGCTGTTTCTCCTTTCAAAGTAGCATGGTGCCCATGTGGTGGTGGGGAAGTGGCAGTGGGGTTACCAAGATGGTGAAAGACCTGCCCTCCTCAAAAAAGGGATGCTGCAGCCCAGGTGCTCTGGCTGTGTATTTTGAGCAATGCCAAGAGGGAACGAAGGCTCGTTTCTTCCCTCAGCAGCAAGCACAGCGCGTTGTGGCTGGTTTCATTGCTCACTTCAGAAAAAACGTGGCATCTGTGAAGTGCTGCTGCTCATCTCTTGCTAAAATGACAAGCTTCTGCACGTGAATTTGCTGTGGAAAAACCACTGTGTGTGTTTATGTTATGCTGCAACCTTTGCAAAGCCAGCCTTCTTCCAGCTCTCCTGGGCGTCTCTGCATGGCACTGGGGCCTCTGCTCTCCTTGGGATGTGAAGAGTGCTCCTGGGGACTCATCCTGCTCATCTGAGTGAAGGAGAGCAGGCTGTGCCTCTTGATAGCACCACTTATTGCTCTGGTCTTACTCAGCAGCTGACTGCTCCCTGTCTTTCTTACATTCATTTTTCCCAATAACAAAACTCCTATTTTTTTTTGCAGCCTTGGCATCTCTGAGGCTCATTATAAGACCTTAGCTTTATCTTCTCCTGGGACTGTTGCACTTTAAATGTAATAAGGACAAACATAGGCATTGAGAGTGTCTTGCTGCAGGACTGGTAGAGAAAAGCAATGCTTGCCTGGTCTCTGTATCGCTTGGCTGCCTGTGTTCCCTGCGCTGCTGTGCTATCCCAAATTACCATCCCCTCAGCAGGTTAACGGTGCCCAAAGAGAGGGACTTGAATCCCCATGTGGGCTCTCAGTGTCCTGACCTTGAGGCACACCTCAAGGTGTTGCTTCTCTCCAATTTCTTCTTTCCCTGTCCTGTATGTCTAGATTATGCAGAA